TGGATGTTGTGTTGGGGGAATTGTTTAGTAGATTGATAGGGCTGGGACAGAGGCTGGAGTCAATGATTTTCTAGGTGTCTTCCAGCTGATAACGATTCTGTGGTTGGGCTGGGTGCACCTTGCCAGCACAGGAGCCGCTGGTTTAAAATTTTAAAAAAAAAATGTTTAAAAGTTGCGGAGTTTTATGTGCTAAACCTCTTTTTTACTAACTCCCTCTCTCTTTTTTTTTTTTTAATCTTTCTTTTTTCATTTCTCAGGTCCTCAGAGGAGCATATCAGCCATGCGTATCACCTGCTGATGACACGACTCAATGAGGAACACGCCGAGATGCGCTTCTCAGCTTTCCAGATCGTGCAGGAGCTGTTCATCCGCTCCCATCAATTCCGGACGCTAATTATTTCCAACTTCCAAGAGTTGTTGGAGCTCACAGTGGGGACAAACCATGAACAGCCTCTTCCCCCTCCCAGAGAGGTGGCACAGAAACTGAGGAAAGCAGCCATTAAGTCAGTGCAAGACTGGCATGAAAAGTATGGAGAGGCCTACAAGAAACTTTCTCTAGGATACCACTTCTTAAAGCAGAATAAAAAGGTACTCTGCGTTTTTGCTTCTTGTGTGGTTTTTTAGGTGATGATCGCCAGGTGGAGATGTTTAAAGCAAGGAAACCAATAAATGTAAAAGAGAAGCTGTTGGAAACAACACCGTTTTTCAGGAGATGTCCTGTTGAGTGTGGTCTTTGAAAGAAAAACCCCAAAGTTTTTGTTCGTCTTGCAGTATTGTAAAGTTTTAAAAGCCCCAGGCTTGTACTTGGAGCTGGGCTCAGCCAGCCTTCTCTGAGGGTGCAAAAAGTATCACTCACCAATTGGCTTTTACCCATGGATTCCCACCTGAAGCCCCAGAGTCTGGCTCTTTCTGGAAGGCAGATAATGTTTGTACATTAAACTGAGGTAAAACGGCTATTAAGTCTTTCTATGCAAGTTTAAACTACCCTAAGTTCTGTACTGAGCTGTCTAGTTCTTGGGTCCTTTTGCTGTACAACAGAGGCAGTAAGTGCTAGTCATGTTGTCCCCTCCTCCGACTGCGGTGTTAGTGTGTCATACAAGAAGTTTTATTAAAGAGAAATTTCTTGTTTGTAAACACTTGCTTTTAGATCTCTCTTCTGGGCTTCAAGTTATCATGCTTGGAACACTACCTTAGTGTCTCGAGGTGCAAACAATGGAATTGGGAACACTATTCCAGCATTTACCCGGTCTACAGTGATAGTATCAGGCTTTGAATAAACATAATGATTCTCTTTCTCTTCAGAAAGACAGAGTTGAGATGAGCCAACCGACCTAACTGGCTTTTTGCCAGCTTAATACTTGAATTGTGAGGAAAAAAAACAGAAGATTTGTACTTTCTAGTAGTAAAGTACCTCTGCTGTTCTCTGTTATGGATTTGGAACAATAGTATAGGGCATGTACAGTTAACACTATGGAGTGTTTACTCTGTGTGTGGTTTGTGGTTATTTTTGGCTTTTCGTTATCACCAAAATCATCTTGTAAACAATGGATCAGAAAATGACAACTGCTGCCCTTCTAGGGTAAACCTAGAGAGCTACCACTGTTCTAATGTGTAGTAGGTCCATATTAGTACGTACGAAGTGGGTGTCTATATAAATGCTTGAGAACAAATAATGTTTCAGTATATTTGATCATAATTGGTTTCAAACTCCTCTCTCAGTGTAAAAACAGAGGGGGGAAAAAGATTTCAGATATTTCCAAATGTTTGTATATTGAGTTGTTTTATAGTATTTAGACAACTGAGTCATTATAGTATCTTTGGGTTGGAGGGATGCATGGGTGGAATTAAAGAGTGGACCGCAGTTATGGAGTGAGCAGGGTTTTAAGCAGCTCAGTGTAGAGTATCCTACTGCTGTACTTCAGTATTTTCCTAAAAGTTGCAGTAGTTGTTGAGGCCCAGTATTTACACCCTTTACATCAAGAATGAATGTTTGCACCTCATCACTTCCAGTTCCATAGTTACAGACCAGTGCTAAAAGGCTTCAAAATTGCTTGCAGTGGTACAGAGGCAGAATAACAACTCTGGGCTCAGCACACATCACCTAAATCAGGTTCTGACCAAATTTGTGAATTAGTGCTGACCCCAGGTAGCAAGTGAGTAGATGCACACGTTGGTAACTCAGGCCCTGAGTTATTCTGACTTTGTGATGCTTCTGTAAGAGGCCAGCATGCCCTGCTTTGGGCAACTGAAAGCTTCATGCCTGCTGCAGACTTGGCTGGTGATTGATAGCTGGTGTGTGAGGTGCGCTCTCATTATTGATGGCAAATGCTGATGGTCTGACAGATGTAAGAGGAGCATCGAGACAAGTGCCAAAGTACAAAATGACACAGCGAAGCAGCACGTGGCTGGTCCTCCTGGGACAGCGAAGGGCGAAGAATGGGCAAATGACTATTGTAGATATTCTGGTATGTGCCAAAGATGTGATTTAGAAAACTAGCTATTTCTGGTTTTCTGTGTGACTCCAATCTGACTGCCTAGAGACAGCAGCTGTAGTTGCTGGGTTCTGCATCTTTGTTCCATTTTTGTGGGCAATGTGTTGTTCTGAGGGAGACTTGTTTCTCCTGCTACTGCATGGAGAGCTGTGGTAGAAAAATTGGATCCCTAAAATCAAAAAAGATCAGCCTGATGATGCAGACGCTACTGTAGGTTGTGAACCTACGTTTCCTCTGTCACACTCCTATTCTCCAATTAAAAAATAGATGGGTAAGTGTGCCTTTCTTCCCATGCGAGTTTCTGGGAAAGCTGGAATATCCTTTTGCTTCTAGATGTCTTTATATGAAAAACAATTTTTCTTTAAAATGTTTGCATAAATAGTACTTGAAAAACCTTAAAGCTTATTGCACACTGTTTAGTTTATTCAGCGGCAACATCATTTATATGGCAGGACACTTTAGCACGTGGTTAACCCCAAGTTCAAGCATTTTTTTTTTTTTAACTTTCATAGTATTTAACGGAGTTACCTACTTGCTTAATGCTGAGCAAATATTCAAATGTTTCAGTAAGTTTGAGATGAGACACCAACACAATTCTTGATTGTGCAAAATAAGCAAACTTTAGTCGTGGGATGTATTTGGTTTGCTTGGCCTGTGACTAATAAATCCATGTACGTGTTACAGGTAAGGTCTTTGAGACTGGATAGAAAGTGAGACTTGTCCTGTGTATAGTGATCTCTACCTCTGCCTTCATTGTTCTGCTCTCCTGTGGCTCCAAAATGTTAGTGTGGAATGTCAGGATCTGGGAACCATTACTGGATGCTGACAAGCTTTATCATCTAGCAGCAGCACTAACGGCAAATATTCAGTGAGTGCTTGTAATACAGACATAGCACCAGAGAGTGCGCAAAGAGAGTGCTGGAGAGCAGCACAGGAGAAAGGGACCTGGGCGTCCTGGTGGGCAGCAGGATGACCATGAGCCAGCAATGTGCCCTCGTGGTCAAGAAGGCCAATGGCATCCTGGGGTGGATTAGAAGGGGAGTAGTCTATACTGAAGTAATATGGTAGCAATCAAAAGGAAATACTCTTTTTCTTTTTGAAGGGCTTTCCTTGTGCAATAACACTATCAAGGCTCCTTTCCTTAAAATAGAATTGAAAAATATTTACATTTTCAAGCCCTTCTAAGAACAAGCTAAAAACCCCCACTGTTGCACCTATTTTAAGAAACAGTATTTTGGATCTCTCAGATTTACGTTTGTGTTTCAGTCATAAGAAAGTAAAGCGAGACTGAATGATAACCTTTCCCTCAATCCCCAAAGCCAACAAATGTAATTGTAAAATCCTAAATTTGATCTTTTAAAATGAATTTGAATCTCTTCTTTCCTTGATTATGAAGTTCTTCATGTATACTTGTGGTAATAGTGCTTACCTAATTTTCCTAAATTGCCTTTACTAATAGTGGAGCTAGTGTGATGTTTTCATGTAATTTGGATACTCACCCTGTGTAGTCTCTTTCTGTCCATTCCCCCTAACCTCATTGTCTTACGTGCTGTGACAGAGGTCTCCCAAAGCTTAGTTTATTCCTGCACCTGATGTGGAAATTTAAGTGGTTTGGTTTTCTACCTTTCTGAAAGCCATTGATTCTTAGCAGTCCCTTATTAGTAGAAGTAAAAACTCCGTTCAGAATTACTGTAGTTATTGATTCTAGAAGGAGAGGAGATAAAAAGAAGTACTGCTGAGCTTCCGATGTTAGAGGATTTTTCACCACAGATAAGGATCTTAGGAAATGGATTTTCTATATATTTCTTACAAGGACTGTTACACGTTTTCTTCATTCCCTCCCTAGGTGGATTTTCAAGATGTACATGCCAGAACTGTAGCTGAAAGGAGGAGGGAAGAGGAGAAACAAAAACGACTGGATAATGTTTACAAAGAAAAAGCCAAAAGAGCTGAAAAAGAAATGGAAGGTAAATTGCTTTGGTTCTTTTGGTGTTTTTTTTTTGTTTATTTTTAAAACAACCTTTTTTAAAGTTATATAAAACGTATTGTAAAAGAATTGCTGTCCAAATAATAGCTAGCCACAGAGGGTGGGAGAAGTACTTTTGTTAAACTTGTCCGTCCTGTCTCGCCTAAAGAATATTAGGGGAAACAAGTGACAGTCCTGTGAGCTCAGGTAGTGTGACGACCAAAAACAAAAAAGCAAGTTAGCAAGTAAAGGCTTGGTCTGTAACTCAGTAAAGTATAAATGTATAACCTCGAGCAAACATATCACAAGGATTTTTTGAGCTAATGGCTTGTTTTCTGTGTCTGTGACGAGGCACAAATTTCTCAGTGCCTTGTGGACTGATGACCTTAATTATATTGTACAGTCATCATGTTCCAGAAGTACAGGCAATGGTCTGCACAGGAATCCTGAATGCAGTGTGGGAAAAGTATCGTACTGCTGCTAAAAATGTCTGGCTGGGGGCTGAATCTCTAAGCAGTAAGTATGTAGCAAGCGTATTTCTGTTACACGAAAGGAGAATGGGGACAGAAGTATGTAGGCTTGTATGTATGGATATAAGCTGAATATGAGCCAGCAGCGGGCTCAGGTAATCAGCAGCATCCTGGCCTGTATCAGAAACAGTGTGACCAGCAGGACCAGGGCAGGGGGGCACTGGGAAGGCTGCACCTTGAATCCTGTCAGTTCTGGGGCCCCTCAATGCAAGAAAGACACTGAGGTGCTGGAGTGTGTCAAGAGAAGGGCAGCAAAGCTGGTGAAGGGTCTCAAGAACATGTCTTATGAGGAGTGGCTGAGGGAGCTGAGGTCGTTCAGCCTGGAGAGAAGGAGGCTGAGCTGAGACCTTACCGCTCTCTACAACTGCCTGAAATGAGGCCGTAGTGAGGTGCTGGGCGATCTCTTCTCCCAAGTGATAGGGCAAGAGGAAATGGCCTAAAGTTATGCCAGGGGAGGTTTAATTTGGATATTATGAAAGATTTCTTCGCCGTGAGGTTGTCAAGAATTGAAATTACCCAGGGAAGTTGTGGAGTCACCATCCCTGGAGGGATTTAGCAGATGTGTAGATGTGGTGCTCAGGGACATGGATTAGTGGTGGACCTGGCGTTGCTGGTTTAACGGTTGGACTTGATTCCAGCCTAAATGATTCTGTGATTCTGTATTACGTTGCAGTTGCAAGGAGTTACTTAATTAAATTACTTTGCAATGCGTGAAATTGTCTCTGTATTTATTCTGAATGCTGGAAATGTTTTTATGTGTGAAGGAAAGAGATTTAACCTCCTTAAAGTTACTTTAATTGGTAACGTCATTTTCACCAATAGCATGTATTCATGCCTACACCTACCAGCAACTATAATATATATGGCTGTAGAGTAGGTATCCACCAACTGCACTAAGAGTGTCCTCACTGAACCTTATTCTTCAAATTCTATGAAGTATTTGTGTCATTTTTGATGCATAGTGAAATTTTAGAGAGGACAAGAAAAGGAGGAACACTCAGGAAGTTCTAGATTGCTTGCCACTTTATAAAGGCAATTTCTGCAGTGGAGAGAGATCTGTACAGCTAAATTATTGCTAATTACTGGATTACCCCTTTGGCAGTTGTATTTGGTTTGTGTTTTTTTTTCTGTGGAGACATTAGCATTTTACATTGTTTAACAGTATTCTAAAACAATTGTCTCTTGATAGAAATGTCCCAAGAGATTGCCAACACATTAACAGAGATGGAAAACTGTTTCCAGCTTCTGATGCCGGATCCTTTTGACTTCTCTGTGAATGACATGGATCTGGAACCCAGCAAACAAATGTCTGCTAATGAGGAGAGACCTGCATCCCCCTTGTCCTCCCAGGTGGAAGTTAACCAGGCCGGTTTTGGATGCGTGGATGATGAGCAGCCGTGCTGCAGCAAGGATGTTCTTTCTGTTTCTCAGTGGGTTAGAACTGATAAAAACCAAGAGTCAGATGAGAAACAGGAGAAGCCTGAACAAAAAGAACTAGATGGAAGCACGTGCGCAGTTCAGTCTGGTATCCCTGATCTTGGTGATGATGATTACCAGACTTTTGTGAGGAACCATGGACTTATTTCATATAAATACACTCTAGACCTTGAAATCTCCACAGGTACCTTGAAAAATTTTTCACATATGGCTGGGGGCTGTCTTTGTCTGAAGTGCGTTGTACTTGGGTTGGTTTTTTATATGACTTAAATGGTGAGGTCCCTAGACACCATTTTGATTTGGGATTCCTTGGACACCACTTTCATTTATTTTAGCGTTCTTTTCTATTTCTGGTTCATCTAGTAACTATTCTTAGGTTTGGATGTCCCTGTGTATGGTTAACAGATTTTATTAATTATTTTTGTATTAATTGTTGTAAATAGGTTAGAGCACTTCATAGTAGCTGTAATAAGATGAGATTCCTGTGTTAAAAAAATCTGTTTACTGTGTATAATTTTCTTTCTCTTATGCTGCACTACTCACCTCTTTCTTTCTCTAGCTGGGGTGTATGTTGTTAGTTTAAAAATCTTACAACTGAGTTTCTTGAACTTTTTTTTTCCCTTTCTAATGACAACTTGAAGAAGGAGTAAGTTCTTTGTGAGGAGTCAGTACCTTCTTTTGTATAACTTTGCCAATGTGAGTTACCTCTAGAAAAATCAGGATGGTTTGTGTTTTGGTAGTTTAGCTGAGGTATTTTACAAATACTGTCCCAATGGAATCTCACATGCAAACAGCCAGTAAGGCAGGTGTTGACTTTGGTGCTTGCAGATGACAGAATTGGAAATGTACCCATGGGGCTTTCTGCCGGGCTAAGGGACAAGAAGTACCATGTTTACTTGGATAGTGGCGTGCTCAGCTTCTTGGGCGTTCAAGTCCTTATTGCCGCTGGGGCAGAGATCATTTTAGGTTGAATATGCATAAACTGGTACGATAGGATGCAGTTCATTTGAACTTGGGAAAAGATGTAAATAGTAGGACTCGCTTGTCTCGGTTTTTTTGATGTTTCCTTAGTGGTGATGGCTTAACAACTCCTTCTGTCATCACCAAATGGAAACCTTTTCGTCTTTACCTCTGATTTCTTTCAATGTGTGGATGATGGTAGAATAATCAATACTGAACAGAGAAACAGTTGATGTTAATAACTTTCCCTTAATTGATCAAATCTTTTAGAAAGGTTCATGTCTACTTCTTCTGCCTAGCTTCTTTAGTTCCTGTAATGAAGATACTATAAACGTTGTGCACTAACTCCTTTTTTCTCCTGTTTTGAGCAGATATAAAAGTGCATGAGAATGAAGATAATACTGCGATCATAAACAATGTCACGGATGCTCACAAGCTCCTCAGAAATAAATTCTTACCTTCTGTGCAGTCCTGGGTTCAGGTGAGATAAGTAGGCAATTTTTGTCTTTAATAAAAAGAAGCGAGAACTGGGGTGCAGTAAAACCTGAGGGAGAGGGAGCGAAAGGGAAATTAAGGTTGAAGAAACATTGGTGCGAATAGAAAAGATTTCTGTTTCAGTAGGGGCAGACAAAAGGAGAGACTATAGGAGCTACATAACTTGTTTGATGGCTCTCGGCATTAGGTATGCTACCTGCAGTCATACGTTCTTTTTAAAAAAAGATATAATGAAGTGGAGTTAAACTAAAATACAGCTTTTTTTGTCAGACATGTCTGTATCAGAAAAACACTATATCCTTTCTGTCAGTTGGTATTACTGCTCAGGAGCCTCGCCCATGGAATTTGGCCTACAGAAGGATACTCTTGGGAAATGCTGACACCAGCTGCTCATTCTTTGTCTTTGGTAGTTGCTACTAGCTTTTATATTCTAGGTAGGAAAAGAAGTGGCTTTGCTAATTATTATTTATAAAATAAAGGAATTTGTGACAATGTTGTTTTATTAATTCTGAAGGACCCTCAGAAAATGTTTTTTTTGCTCATATGTGTAGAAAAGAGAATAAGAGTATTAATTTCTTGCTTTACAGTTGTTTACCCGAGCAGGAGTAAATGATGATCGACTGAAATGTGCCATTGATCTCAAGAATAAGTTGGAGACTGCTATGAAGAAATACAAGGAAATGAATATTTCCTTTAAAGCGAGAAAAAGGAAAGTGGTGAGTTTCTTAGCATTCTGTTTTACTAGAGGGGGTAACCATTAGTAATGCTTAGCTTGTATACGGGAATTTTACTTTATCTGGGACACTTTTCAATACAAGTTTTATTGAAAAGTACACTCATTCAGCTGGTTGTAGCTTCACTCAAGGAAGTTTCACTAAACACCTGTACAGTGTGTCAGGGGCCTGATTTTTAGACAAAACCGTGTAAGGTGGCACTGATACTGCTGTTGTTTAGGATGGGGAAGTGGTAAAATTCAGATTTTACTTGCTCTTAGTTTTTTCATGTGTAACACTTTTGTCCTCATCTTCTTTTGTCCGTATTTCTCAGTAAACACTCTGTTACTCATGTTCTTTTACAACTTGCCAAACTATGCTAGTGTCTCACAATTCAGGAAAGCAGTGTTTCTGCTTTGGAGCTTTTAATCTCTCCCTCTAGTAAGCATGAAATGTGACTGAGGATATCTTAAGAGAATTAATTGTTGTATAAAGCTTTAAAGTGTCAAGATATTACACAAAGATTAGCTACCTGTGGCAGTTTTTGTGGAACAGGTAGAACTTGTGAATAAACATAGGCTTGAAAGATCAAATACGTTATTCACGTTCGAAAAGGAGCCTATGGAGCTAAAAAGCAGAGCTGCGTAATACTCATTTCTTGCCTGCTCTTGAACAAAATTACTGTCTAGCTTGACATGAAAAGAGGTGGTTTCGGTCAGGATCCGGAGTAGTCTGGTTTCTGGCTGGATTGTAAGAATTTGATTGAGACATTATACCTTGGACTAAATTGTGAAAGCCTCATTTAGCCAGGGCTGAGTGTTGAAGACTTTGCTTTCATTGTGCAAATGAAGCTTTATCAAGATTAATCTGGTTCATCATTGTAATACCTATTGATGTACCACACCAGTCAAAAATGCCAACTCTGAATGAAAAGTACTGAAGGACTGTCTTGTCAGAGGCTTTTTTTTTTCCCAGTGAAATATGTGCTCTACCTTTATGCAACGAGCTATGAAGGAATCCAGACATCTGCTGTCATTCCTGCCATTTGCTTGACAGGACTTCATTTGCTGCACCTCTGCATGGAATATTGGTTGCTATATTTCTTGCAAGATAGAAGGGACATTTGAGCCTTGATTTTCATATGTGTGAGTGTGTATGTATGTGTTTGAAGTGGCATTGTTACTACTTCTGGAGATTGATCGGTGCTATCTATGTAAGATTTGAAAACTACTAAATTCCACCATTAGAAGGAAAAAAAAAAGAAGAAAAAAGTATGTAGCAATACATTGCTCACAAAGAATACATTCAAAATGAAGCAGTGCAGACTGAGGTATTAACTTCAGCATTGAGAACAATATATAGTTATTTCTAGGGTTTCTCTCCAGTGGAAAATACCTAAATTTAGTGTTAGTACTGAGTTACTTAAAATTTATACCCTGAATGTAGAGAGCTTTGTGCTGCAGGAGGAAAACGCATGAATTATCTTTTATTCACACGTCAAATGAAATGTTGTTGAAATGTAAAAACACAGTAAAATGAGTCTGATAGAACAAAACAAACAGCATCGCTTAGACTGTGATTATTAAATCCCCATCTGTCAAATATTTACGTGCCAGCATGTGAAGCACTACTCACAGCTCCTCTTTGATGCAGCGTTGCTGCTTGAGTTACCTATTGTTGTTTCTGTCTGTACGTCCTTGTGCTGTTGGAGCTATAGCTCTTGCCACGCCAAACTTCTGCAGTCTTCTGTATCTTTAGATCCCAGAGAAGAAGTACCGACTGTCTGTCCTTCAACGCCCTGGCCTGCAGCCCTGTCCCAGCAGGGCTCTGGGTGTTACGGGTGTGAGTTGTTACGCACGGGGAGTTGGTGTGAGCTGTTACCTGCTTGCAGCTAGAGAAGAGCACACCGAGAAGGGAAGGGGAGCGTGTAGTAAGCAGAGAGAGAGGTTGTAAATAAAAGTGTCTGGGAGCAGACGGCCCCGTGCAAATTGTCTGGCTTGTAGCTGAACTGTGACGTCTCCACATGCGGATGTGGTAGCAGCGTTCTTGGCAACTAGCCACTGCCATCTGAGGTACCGGTATTGTTAGCTGGAGGGTGTAAAGGTGAACTGTGTCTGTGCTTGCTCCTTGCTTTGGCTGTTCCCACATACTTCCCCACACACAAGCTTCACCTTCCTGGAGAAGGCAGTTTTATTTTACTAGCAAATATAAGACACGATGAGAGGGACTTGGAAAATTGGGCTCGCCCCTTCTCCTCAGACTTTCTGATTTCCCTTTATGCTTATTTTCCATGCTTCTGTGGTCTCTGATTTCACCTCTTTTCATCTGTTCTGTGCTTTGTTTCTGCTCTGTCCGAGGAGGGGAGGGAGCAAAGGCTTTACCCATCTTCAGATTGAGATCAAGAAAGTTGATAAAGGGGCAGGTTTAGTGAGAGACAGTGAAACTGGAGATTTGTTACTGTGATCTCTATTATCCCTCTCAATCCCACGGAGATTTAAATTGCCACTTAAAAGAGAGAAAGTCCTGGAGTCCCCTGCCATTGCCAGGTGTCACTGGCACTCTAGGTTAGCTGAGCAGTTACACGTGCATGTGGCTGCGGTGCAAGTAAGGTGTATGTATTTGGAGTAATTCTTGATGCTGCTGTTTAGTATGAGTACACCAGCAGTGTCGCTGGATGTAAATTACAGCAAGAGGAAGAAATTGGTGGTTACCTGGCCTGCCTGCACAGAAGAACCGTTTGGTAGGTGTGGGAAGGTTTCTGTGCTTTCCATTTTTTCTCATTTCATTTTCCAGATCAGGGAGCACTAGTCTGCAAGGCAGCATTTTTCTGCAATTAGAGCAGGTTAGAAAATTAGCACAAATTATTTTCTCTGAAGTTTATTTTTTGCCTTTACTGAAAAATGGAAAAGCCCCACTGTTTTGCAAACTACAGGAGAACTTTCTGTAGATTTACGTACCTTCTTTTATATGAAATCACTTGAAGGAAGGCACAGAACTTTATACAGTGAAGCACTTTTACTTTAAATGGTTTATAGTGACATGAAGTATAACCACCTCTTTCTTTTCTTGTTTCTGATGGTGAAAACCTCAAAACATCAGCAAGCCTTAATTCTAAGGAGGGCTGTCATTTTTATGTAACACTTAAACCCTGCTGACACAAGCAGGCCCTGGCACCTGTCTGCACTTACTTCTCAGGAGCTGTGGGAGGAGAGGGAGAAAAATGACTAAGGTTCTCCTTTGGCTGTGTAGGAACAAATCTCTTGCAGCAGGCTTTATTGCTGTTAATACAGCCCAGCTGCCCAGACTGTGCATTCCTTCTTCCCATTGCTGTGCCTGCGGCGCATCTGAAGTCATCAAGACCTTTCTTTCTGAGCTGTTACATTTTCAAAAAGGTGAGGAATGGACAGAAAAATGAGAATCTTGCTGTGTTGGTGAAAGGCAAATGAGGTTTTTGTGTGCTTACACCCTGTAGTTAAATACTTGTTTGGGGTGTGAACAGGGTGTGGGTTTCTGCTAGGAAATGTATTTTGAAAGTAAAACCAGGAGTTTTGAGATCCGTGTTTCTGTGAAACTGAGTACGAGCTGAATCTAGGGGAAGAGAGCAGAAGCAAAGGGCTTTTATTTCCCGAGCCCTGGATGCCAGGGCACACATCGCTGCTTTTCTCTGACCGCCTGAAATGCTCGGGATAATGTCAGTGCCCAGCAGAGGGAGTGCACACTGCATGCTCGGCGCTTTCCTCCGCACCACCTTTAGCCAAAGCAGCCAGCAGCTCGGTCTGGGCGTCCAGGTAAACTTAGCACACCAGCAGTACACCAGAGACACAGCGAGTTAATTCTTGGCTCCGTTTAGATGGTTTATTATAGAAGTACAATTGTAATTAGGGGCTGAAATTGGTGTTTAAATAGAAATTCCTGTTTACAGAGGTTTAATTCATTCCTAGGAATTACTTACGGCTAAAATGGTCCTTTAAAAAGATTTTTTGCTGATTAGAAATAGTTTCATTGGCACATGTCTTCTTTTTCTTAAAATACTGGATTTTTATTTTCTTGTTTCTTGTCTGATTTGCAGCTGATTAGACGCAAATGATCTTGCAGTTTTAAAAGTTGTGAGAGGACAAGTATGTACTGTATGTTAAATCACCTATACTACCTTTCACTTACATAATTTCCATAAAGGATTCTCCATTAGGATTATATTGGAAGTTTTTAACGTTATTAATAGAAATGTAGTTCATTAGCTCTATTTCGTACACTGAGAGTATATTTATCTCTTCTTTAATTACCTTTGGGAAGCCATAAAAAGGTTTACTGCTCAGACAGGCTAAAACTTGGCCAAACAGAAGCTAGTAGGCAGTATGGTGTGAGAAACATTCTGCTCATTTGTCTGTCAGCAAACTGATTGTTTAACAGGCCTATTACATTTTAAATTTTTAATTTCAAGTTATATTAACAACCAGAGATGTGTAGTTTTTCATTAACTGGCTTCATTACTTTTTGTTTCACCTTTCCTTATCTTCTGTCAAATCTAAACGTGCGCTTGGATCTTGATTTATTCATGTACTTAATTTTATCCATGTGAAACATCTGGTTGAATTCAATAATGTCATTAATAATTAGGTTTGGAGAAGACTGTCCTTGTGCTGCCCAGAATCTGATCTGATCCTCAAACCTTACTGCAATACAAGTCAGATTTTTCTTGAAAGAATAATGTCATAGAATTGTTACAAATTGTATTTACAAGTTAAATATTTGCTGATCATAATATAGTCTTCAAATATTTTAATACATAACAAGATTAAAATTTTAATATGTAGTAAATCAAGCCAAGAGCTCTATCAACGATTTGGCTGCAAGACCGTTGCTTTTTTTTCTTCCCATATCTACAATTTGGTGTTTTGTCAATACTAATGAGTATTTCTATCTAATCATTTTGTAGCTTTATAACCAGCTCTTTAAGTGTGTTGCTTTTATTTCTTCCCATATCTACAATTTGGTGTTTTATC